TATACAACTGTACCACCACTCGTCAACTATCGGCTAGCAACTACCAGCGGTGGGGCGGCCGTATCTCGCCGCACGCTTGCATTCAGCGGTAGGCGGACGGATACGCGTTTATTCGCCGATCTTCAAAAATTAATATCTCGTTAACGATTGTGAATTTTGCAAAATGGTAGAGGACTTTTCCGTTCAGTTTTATCTACTTTACCTGCCCACGAGGTCCGGTGCGGTTATTATGGGACACCCTGTATAATTAATTTTCCTTTTTTTATGCAAAAATACTAATTCTAGCACAATTTTCGTTATAAATAATAATAAATAACAGCTTAAAAAATTTTAATTAATTATAAAATTTTGACTTTATCATATAATTTTATGGATGAAAATCAATGTAGAAACATTTAAAATACATTTAAAATAGGACGAACATTTTATAAATAAAATATTTGTACAAACACGTTTCATGTTGTAAATATTTGGAGGAAAATATGATTGATTTATATTATACTATGTTTTCCTTCAAATATTTATAGCATGAAATGTGTATGCATAAATGTATTATTATTTGTAAAAATAACAAAACATTTATAAAATGTTTATGGTATACGTTCTACTTGTGTCTTTAATGTTTTTAACGTAGGACGTACATTTTAACTTTTATCTTTTCATAAAATTCTACGGCAATGTGAGATTTTGATAATAAATAAATAATATTTTTAAAACTTTTGTTATTTTGTATTATTTAAAATAAAAATTGCGCAATAATTAGTATTTTTGTTTGAAAAGAGATAAATTAATTATATATTAGAAAATATAGAATTCATTAAAAAAAAATTGACACTGCTGATATTCGAATTTGTGTTGAATTTTCGTCGGTCGCAAGAAAAAAGAATACACGACGCTTCAGTCTGCTCAGTTTTACATTACTTTTGTACTTATCGATGCACGATTCAAGTATTTATTACAATCGGACGCTCAAATTTATTTAGAAATTTTGTAAAAAGCCAAAGTTCATTTGTGGAAATCCTTTTATTTAGTAAGATGTACTAAATAAAAGGATTCACATCTAACATTCTCCTTCGAATGGATTATGACTTATTTGGCATTTCGCAATTTAAATTTGTTATCTCCTTGTTAAAAAAATATCATTACTTTATTTATTTCATCATTTTATTAGTACAGTTTATTAAAAAGTTAAGTATATTTTTTACTTAACGTTACTGTTACGTTATTTTAAATTTTAAATTTTACACGCAACTGTATGTACTTGTGCAAAAAGTGTCTGAATATGTTTAAATCGAAAAATCAAAAAATCTTTGTGTACATATGTATTATATTAATTAGGCAAAATTATTTCAAACTTGTAAATAATAATTATATGTTCTAAAAGTGCAATGTAAGAAATAATTTAAAAACAGTAAAAATTAGTGAAATGCACTTATAAAATATTAAAAATATAAAAAATGCCAAGTACATTTTATTGTACTA